TGGTTAACTAAGTTAGGTACGTAGCCTAGAGGGAATATTTCACGGCATGGCCGAAAATCGTGATTCTGCCTGCCACGGAAGAGAGGGCAGATCACGCAATGGGTCAATATTTCATCGTAATGCTAATTCGTCCAAAGACTGTCCTTTTGGTCAAGCCTGTTTTCTCAGGTAAAAGAGTAATTTGTAACATGTCTTGCTTCCGTAGCGTACAATTCAACTGATCACCCTCACTCGGTCTACAGTTTTGGAAATGTATAGTAACAGCTTAAGATTTTTTTTGGAAAGCATTGAAAGCATTTTTCAAGGTTTTTTGGCAAACTGTGAAGGTTTTTGTGAGCTGGTGTTTTGTATGACTGGTTAATCTTGGATACTCATAGCGTTTTCCAACCCTAAGGCTGCACCATAGCTTTCGATCGGCCGACCGATTGTGCCGATCTTCCTGTTAGAACACCGAGTATTATCGCCCGATCGCACGTTCGTAGACTATAATTGCGGAGAAAGGCAACATAAGGATCCAGGAATGCGCCATACTTGCACAGTCTGTATTTGGGTCTTAGTTCTGGTTTACAAATGGTTAATAAAAAGGGACAAGACAGTGATGGTGAAGTAGTAATAAAAATGCATGCGTGGTTGAGAAGATTGTTGAAGTGCAAAATAGGTAGTATGTGTTTGCAGCCTCGCCTCGAATATGACAAAATCTTCAATCCCACGAAGCCGGAATCATTCAATTGGCAGAGCTATTTCATTGTGAGCGCTATTTCTTTGAAAATTTGTCACAGTTTTTGTGAAACAACTGTTTGAGGCTGGAAATTTATTCGAAAAAGTGAAAGTCTTGGATTTTTGAGCCCTTCTGGCGAACCTAGGGACCTCAAACAAATGTTTCGCATTGTAGTTGCGCATGTAGATCGCAAGGAGCATCATAGTTAGACAGTGCTTTGTTTACTTGGAGTTTATCGTACTTGTATGTAACAGTAATTTTACTGCAGGCCACAGGAACGAATCCATGCACGGACGAAATTTTGTTTGGTCATGTTCGTTATCTAGAACAAACGGTGGCAGAGCGTCTCTTCGAGCATGGGAAGCACATTTTCGTGAAATCTGAGAATGATAATGAACGTGTTGCCCGGATAGAGGTTTATTAATATTTGTTTTGAAATATTGGTTCCTCTTAACTGATGTTTTTTCAGCTGTGTTGTAAGGGGAGACTAATGATTAACTATTTAACTACGGATGAAAGGGATAAAAGGGAAGACTGCGATGGTGAAATAGCGATTAACGATGTAGTAGCCAATGCAAAGGAAGTGGAACGCTCCATCAAACGGTGAGTTACTCGATCTCTTTGCCTTTCACTGCATGTTTGCAAATATTTTTTTCTGTAGAGTTCTTGCTGAAGAGAAAGACAAGCGACGAAAGTGGGATTTTCTCGACGTCGAGCAGATTTCTAAGTATAGAGACGTTCTTGACTGCCGCTTGAATGACTTGATCAAGGTACTGATTTGTCTGAGATTTGATATTCTTTGGAACTCAGTGCAGGTCTTGTAGAAGTGTGCATTTGGCCATTTTTTGCCCATTATGTTTTTGCATTTTGCCTTGATTGAGTGAACACAGTTGGTTTAATTGCAACATAAAGAACA